GGTTTAATCTTGGGAGTAGGCCTTAAATTAAAACAGAAAATGGTTGGTTATGTCCATGGTTATTTATGACACTATTGAACCAGTGGACATGTCTTGCCAGGCTGGTGGTTGTTGTAATCCACTGGGTTCACATCTGGGCAGTATTGATCATTACTTTTTTTGCTCTCATAGTCTGCATAGCATCTTTCAGCTCTATGAAAGCTAGCCAGTAGGGATGAAGCTTCCAGGATAGGCCAGCTTGCATTCTCCATATGGTTGGTGTCTTCAGCAATAAGATCTTATCTCGGGTTTTGGATGATAGCCAAGAACATTGGCAATAGCCTGTAATGTTTGAGGTTCTTTGGGACCTGGGGATGGGTGGGTGGGACACATGGCATGGTACTTGTGTGAAGATCAAAGGACAACTTGCTTGACTTAGTTCTTCTACCACATGGAGACCAAATTCAGGTTATCAGGCTTCGCTTGGTGATGGATGCCCCTTAGTAGCTGAGCCATCTCACCAGCCCCAAGAAGTTTTTGGATTTTGTTACATAGTTTTAATGCTTAGGTTTAAATCCATTTATTTTCTCTATTCTAAGTTAACTCTTGCATATGGCATGAGAGTCCAACTCTGTTGTGTTGCATTAGAATTTCTAATTTTCTCAGCACTGTTGCTGGGAAGACTGTCTCAATGGTTTGTCTGAACTCCTAGTTGTACTGCTTAGATGTACGTGGAACTTCTCATGTAGGTATTACACTGCTTTGATTATGGTGGTGTTTCAGCAGACTCTGGAGTAAGGAAAATAGGAGTCCTCTTAATTTTCTTCTGTTTCCAGATCGTTGTGATTATTCAAGTTGCTTTGGAATACCATTTAAATTTTAGGGTATGTTCTCCTATTGTTTGGAATAAACTCCCTTGGGCTTTGATTGGGACTGTATTGAATATGTAGATTCCCTTTAAATAATAATAGTCTTGACAGATTTGTCGTCTAGTCCATGAAAAGGGCATATATTTTTATTTACGTAATCTTTTCTAACTTTATTCAACAATGTAGTTTTTATTTTTTGGTTTTATTTATTTATTTATTTATTTATTTATTTTGAGACAGTTTCTTTGTGTAACCCTAACTGTCCTGGAATTTGCTTTGTAGACCAGGCTGACCTTAAACTCAGAGATCCTCCTTCCTCTACCTCCCAAGTGCTAGGATTAAAGGTGTGCACCATCACCACCACTACCACCACCACCACCCCTCCCCCCAGCTATTTTGTAGTTTTTAGCATATGTCTGTCCTCTCATTGGGTAACTCCTAAGAATTTATATTATTTTCATACTGTGTAGTTGCTATTGTAAGTGTATTCTTTTTGTGTGTGAGTACATTTGTGGAGGTGTTGTTCCTCAAGAGTTATCTCCCTTGCTTTTTGAGAAAGAATCTCTCACTAGTAAATATATCTTGTGCCGGACTTCCCTTTATTATACTAATTCATTCTTCTTGGATGTTAGGTATCTATTTAAATTCTACTTTTTCATGAGTCAGGGTTGGTATTTTGCATGTTTCTGGGATATTTGTTCACTTTATTAGGTTATTCACTTTATGGTGCATAAGTCATAGAATTTCTTATATTATTGTTTATTTAAATAGGCACCGATATCCCCACTTTCTTTTTAAATTGCATTTATTTACGTGTGTGCGTCACTTGAATGCATAGCACATGTGTGGAGTAAGGACAACTTTGAGAGTCTGTTCTTCCGTTACCATATGTGTCATCAGTTTTTAATTATGTCGAGGTACCCTTGTGTACACTGAATAGCTCACTCTAGCTACTTCAAGATTCCTTGCTTTGGGATTTGTACACTTTTAATAAAAAGGTGTCTCAGTGTGGATCTCTTTGTGCTTGTTCTTATTAGGTTTGTATATTCATGTTTTTGCCGTCAGAGTTGGGAAGTTTGGGGCCAACATTTATTTTTTAAAAATGTATTTGTTTCCATTTTTGCTATCCTTCAGGAACTCTCATGTTGCTGGTATTCATGTAGGTACTTGATGGGATCCCAAATGTCCCTGGTGCTCAGGTTTTTTGTTTGTTTGTTTGTTTGTTTCAAGACATGGTTTCTCTGTGTAGCTTTGGGGCCTATCCTGGCACTCACTCTGTAGACCACGCTGGCCTTGAACTCACAGTGATCACCTGTCTCTGCTTCCCAAGTGCTGGAATTAAAGGCATGAGCCACCAACACCCAGCAAAGGTATGAGAACCCAGGTGCTAGGATCAAAGGCGTGAGCTCTGTTACTCTTCACTCTTGTGTAGGCCAGGGTCGCTGGCCTTGAACTCACAGTGATCACCTGTCTCTGCTTCCCAAGTGCTGGAATTAAAGGCATGAGCCACCAACACCCAGCAAAGGTATGAGAACCCAGGTGCTAGGATCAAAGGCGTGAGCTCTGTTACTCTTCACTCTTGTGTAGGCCAGGGTACAGGGTTTTTTGTTTTGTTTTGTTTTTTGTTTTTTAATTTACTAGAACATTCTTCGTTGTTTGGTGGCAAAATAAGTATTAATTTGTACTATTGTAAGTTATGAATAAGAGGACCCTTCCCTAAAGTACAGTGTTACTCAGAATGCAGTACAGTAAGAAGTAAAGTCACTTATGTCCCCTCTTGCATCTACTTAACCCCACCAAAATCTAGTTAATGTTCTGTGTTACCATGCAGCTCCATTGTTCTCCATCTCCAGAGTTTCTTTACTTGGAAAACTGCAATTCTGTATCTATTAAGGATTTCCCACTTTCCACTCTTTCCAGGGTCTTGGAACTTCCATTTTAGTTGTTTTTTTATGACTTTGTCTACAGTTACAAAGATGTTTTTACATTCTTGTTTTCATGCCAAATTTCTATTTTGCATTTGTAGCATAACTCAGTTTGGACTAACTACTTTGTAGGTGCTCATTAGCCATATTGGCCCATATTTTGGATAACTGAACTTGGTGCTATAATACAGAATCCATATATAATTGATCTATTTTATGCTTTAATAATCAAGAACTGTGGTCAGCAAACTTTAAATGTTAGGGTTCTGCAATAATGTTATGAGTATATTAGAGGTAGTGGGTCTGAAAAGTTAGTAGGGGATGCCATGATCTGGCTTGAGGGTTATGAGCACTTGTCTAGCATGTGTGAGGTGCTGGATTTGATCCTTGGTCCTGAAAATAATTATCTAGTATGACTTGGTCTCAAGTATATAGAGATACTCATCAAGTGCCGTATTCTAGGACTTACAGGTTTTCTTCAGGAGAATCTCACTTAGACTGTGTAGTTAAGCACCTAGCCTGCTTAGTTCCTCCTCTGCCCCAGCACTTCCTGAGCCTTCTTGAACCTTCTTGAAAGGAAGGCTTCTGTCTTGTGAAGTCTTTTTTGTTGTTGTTGTTGTTCTTTGACTTCTACGATAAGGTCTCACTCTGTATCTCTAGTCTAGTATCACAGACAGTATCTGGCATTCAGTAGAATAGTGCTACCCAACAGCAGAAACAGATCAACAGGTTATACAGCCTTTGGGGTTATAGACAGGAGCTTTAACATTTGGTGGTTAATCTGTTCATGAAAACAGATGTTGAAGCTGAGAATTTCATTAGAGAACTGTAATCTATAGAAAAGAATCAAACGGCGGTTCTATAAGGGAAAAGATGAACAGCACAAGTGATTTCATCACAGGTTAGACACAGGTGGAAAGGATGAATGGTCAACAGGAAGCTAAGTCACTAGGCATTATATAAAACCAACTTGTCTGTTTCTGTTAGTACTAAACCAAACTATCCCTGGGTTGGTTTTTAGATTCATTAATCAGCAAGTCTTAAGAATTTAGAGCTTGGAAATGAAGAGAAAGCATATTAGATTCTAGTTGCAATACTTGCCTTTTAATGTGTGTAGTTATGTATTTTATTATGGCGATGTTTTTAAAATTAAAGTTAAGTACATATCAGGGAATGGTCAAATATGAAGTTATCAGTCATAAATTTGTATTTGTGTTTCCCTGCCTTTGAGCAAACAAAGTTTTCTGTAAGTCACCTGTCCAGTAAACCTAGAGTATACCTGTAGAATGAGAAATTAAGCAGAACACATACTGAAAACATATACACAGCTGGATTTATTTTAGCATCGGGGTGTTGTAAAGGGACTTGTTTTATCTAGGATAACCTTCAAAGATTGTAAGGTAATCTGGTACAGTTGCTCATTATGTGTCATAAAGAGCAATTAGGAAAGAAGTTACTGGTCTATTGTTGAGTTGGTTGAGGGAGCAAGTGCCCTGTTTTTCACTGTGTAGGTTTGACTGACTTTACTAAGACGGGAAAAATACTGCCAGTTATATTTGACATCTTGTAAACTGTAACATGCATCCTGACTTCAGAAATGTTATAATTTAGAAGAAAAGGTAAATGTTAATCTTACTGCTATGTGTTAGTTCTGTTGCCTCCTATTGGATGATTTGCTCTAGAGAGGTCTTTTGAGCATTTTTCTCTACCGTGAAAATGGGATAGGATATGGATCTGACTTGTTCCCGAATGATAGTTGAGACTTGTGATGGCATCTAAGCATCAAAATAACAGTCCATTTTCACTCTAGGAGTTTTCAGAGGGCAGCTTTAGGGAATTTTCATTCCTTCTTATCTCATCATTCTTAAGGTATCTCTGTGGACTTCAATAAAAATATTTCCCTTTTGTTAATGCCAACTAAATATACTATTAATCAAATTACATCTTTTGTGTAGGGGGGGGACTTTGAGACAGGGTTTCTCTGTGTAATAGCACTGGAAGTTCTGGAACTCTCTCTGTAGACTGGGCTAGCCTGGAATTCACAGAGATCCGCCTGCCTTTGCCTACCAAGTGCTGGGATTAAAGGCATGTGCCACCAACTGCCTAGCACCAAATTATATCTTTTTAACCAAAAGTTTAGATTCTGTGATGTTTGTTTAATATATTCCTCCTTTGAAGATTTACAGAATGACATTTTTCTTGAGCAATAAAATATTTAAAACTTCAATTTTTGTTTGTTCTTTACACTCAGAATTTTTCACGACACACCCAACTGATAGGATGAAAAAGTTTAAGAGGAGACTGTCCCTCACGCTCAGGGGAAGCCAGACAATCGATGAGTCACTGTCGGAACTGGCTGAGCAGATGACCGTGGAGGAGAGCAGCAGCAAAGACAACGGTAATAACCTGGGCATGAGAAATTTAACTACTTCATGAATACAACCTAAATCTTCTGTTCAGATGAGCTAAATATGGTGTTTCTGTTTATCTCGTTCTTTGGCTTCTTGGAAACAAAAGACTAACTTGAATATGCTTGTCTAATGTCATATTCTGCAATCACCCCAACACTGCCAATGTCCGTCACCTACTCCTGTGAATACCTTTATGACTTTATTAGTTCTTAAATCAGAATATATTTAAATATTTTATAACTTGAGTAAGTTTATGAAATTCTTATTTGTAGCTTTGTCATAGTTTTATAGTATTCTAGATGTGCACTGTCCTTATAGATTACAAGATTCATCAGAGTGAATTTATTATTTTCCTATTTAATGTACCAAAGTGTGTTCATAGTATTGAGAACACTTAAAGACAAAAACATGGTGTTTCATTTGACATTGTGTTTTACAATACAGAGTAATAGTACACAAATTTTAATGTAAAAATTTGAAAGTTTTGTTAAGCTAAATGAATTAAAATGTAAACTTGGTGAAATTTTTGGAACAAGGTTATATAATCAAAACCAAAATAACCCTAGGAATGACCTAGTGACTAGGAAGGAGCTCATAAAAATGGCTGATAATGAGCCATGGTTTGTAGCGTCTGGAGAGCTTCCTTTCCTGTACTTAAAATTCTGCTTTTCTTTAATTCCTTTTCACAAGTTGGAAACTTAGCTGGGTAGGATCTTGCCCTGAGGTTACCACTCCTTTTGTTTCATTTTCTTAATCTGTTTATCTTCTTGAACACAGGATTTAGCTCTGTTCCATGTCTTGGTCCTCTTTTTCTCCTCAAATTGTACATTTTGTATTTTTACTTGCTCAGCTTGCTCCTTTTTCATTTTATATCTTCATTAGATTTAACACTAATAATAACACGACAGTGTCTATACTAGGTGGCTTTGAGATTTCCTTTGCCAACTGAATTAATCCAAAACTCTTCAATTTAGCTTCAGGCAGACTTTTTAGACAAGGGCAAAAAGCAGCTATATTCTTCACCAAAATATCACAAGAACAATCTCTAGGCAACATACAAAAAAACCTTCTCCTCTGAAACCTCTTCAGCTATCCCCCACAGTTCACATCACCCTCAGCACCATTGTCTCCCATGTGCCTACTAGGATGGCTCATTAAGCTGCACTTAAGTGTTCAACTGCTTTTTTGATCCACAGGCCCAAGGTCCATATTCAAACAAATCATGATCAGGCCTGTCACAGCAGTACTCTACTCCTGGTTCCAATTTCTATCTTAGGGTTTCTATTGCTATGAAGAAACACCATGACCACAGCAACTCTTATAAAGAAAAACATTTAATTGGAGTTAGCTTACAGATTCAGAGGTTTAGTCCATTATATTCATAGCAGCATACAGGCAGACTTGGTGCTGGAGAAGGAGCTGTGAGTTCTACATCTTGATCTGCAGGCAGCAGAAGCAACTGTGTCATACTGAGCATAGCTTGAACAAAGGAGACCTCAAAGCCCACCCTAACACTTCCTCCAACAAGGCCACCTACTTGAACAAGGCCATGTCTCCTATTAGTGCCATTCCCTTTGTGTGTGTGTGTCGGGGGGGGGGGGGGGGATTTTTTTTTTGAAAGGTTAAAAAATACCTAATATTTTAAAAATAGTATGTTGTTTATTTGTAACAGACATTAGAGAAGAAAAAAAATAGGAATGCCATTGGAATTCTTCCTCATCAGAGTGACTTGATATACTTGAGGACATAGGCAGACATTGATTTCTTTTTGGCATGAACTACCATAGTCAGTTGCTGCTTATTCTCTTTGTGTAACTTGGATTTCATCACCAGTTTTGACAGGGATTCTAAATCTTGTTTTTGATCATGTCAATGCCTACTAGCTAAAAATAAACATATTTTCCCCTTAGTTTACTTTCTCTCCTATTTTGTTTTTAGCATAAGAACTACACAAGATAAGTTGCAAACAGAGATAGAGTTCATGTCAAAATATTGTATAACAATGTATGTGGACTGTACTATTTAGAAATCATACACGTAATGTAATAAATTTATAAAGCAAAAGTGGTCTTCGTCTAGTTTGAAACAGAGGCTTAAGGAGTAAGTGAAATAGTTTGTCACTTCTCTAAGTAAACTGCCCCAGACCAATTTTTGATTTCCTGTCTCTAGTTTGATCACAAACACAGTCAAGAGCCCTGTTAAGCTGCTATTATGTGTAGTCATGTGGCTGACATGTGTATCATAACAAAAAGGAGTTCATACTCACAGGGTTGTAATTACATAAATATCTTAGAAAATTGTAGTGTACGTGGCACCTTTGGTTATCTATGGTAGAACTTTCATCTAGAATTTAAGAGATTTCTGTAGTATTAATAACTGTATCACAGTTTGAAGGCTTAAACTCAGTTCAAGATGTTCTGCTATAATTGTAATTCACAGTACATTGTGTAGCTAGGATGTTTGCACATTGACTGGGGGATTGAATCCAGGAAAGAAGAATCTTGAATTTTACATATTGAGTATGAAGTCATTTTGTAAAAATAAGCTAAAAATTGTTAATCTTGACCACTCTGTACATACTGGCCCTAATTTAGAACAGCTTTATTTAAATATAAATTGAAATTTATAAATGGAGGCATGAGATATTATTTCTAAAATACCTAATGTGAAAGGTAACTGTGAGAAAAATTATGTTTTGTTTTGTTTGTTTTGTTTTTTGTAGCACTAAGAATTGGACTTGGGCCCTCACACCTGCTAGGCAAGCATGTACCACTGAGCTATATTTCCAGCTATAAGAATTTAGTTTTTAAAATTTTTCATAAATTAAATTTATTTCATTTTCTACAAAAGTTAAGCATAGAATTACCACATGGACCAGCAGATTCATTTTGGGCAATATACTTAATAGATTTGAAATAAGTGTTCGAGCAAAATACTGCTAAGATTCTTCCTCATATATAGCTGATTCTGATGTACTGTATTTTCAGATGTCTCTGCTCCGTAATGGGTCTTTTCTTGTTGAAAGATTATTAATATAACAAAATACCAAATTTGGAACAGTTATCTCAGCCTCCATATTGATATGCACTTAAGTATTTCTGTTTTATTCACTAATTGACTTACCTTTCTGAATGTCTAACAATAGAAGTATAATTTTTTTTAGGTATGGATTATAAAGTGTGTTATATTCTACAGCACATTTAACCATGAGACACATGTTAAGATAGGCAGCACATGGAGTAGTATTAAAATAATTTTTAGATGTAAGTGATTTGTTAATAAAAACCCTGGTTGGGTATAAGTGATTGATAACCAGTTTTGGTCATTGGACCAACTTAAAATGTTAAGGTATTTTCTATAAATATTTTTTTCATAGAAATTATTTTAACTCTAGCACTTTGAATAAATAGGCAAAGAAGTGAGCTTCCATATAAATGATCTCTATTACAACCTTTTGTTTGTTTTGTTTCCTTAATCCTTCCCATGTGACCCTGACTCTTTCGATGACTGTGGAATGATTCCTGGATACTGTGAACCACAGAGCCTATTGTGAAGAATGGCAGGCCTCCGACGTCTCACAGCATGCATTCCTTCCTCCATCAGTACACAGGGTCTTTCAAGAAGCCCCCATTGCGAAGACCCCACAGTGTTATTGGAGGAAGCCTTGGTTCCTTCATGGCCATGCCCAGAAACGGAAGCAGATTAGGTAATGGGATTCTGTTGCATTTTAACTTTGTGACTGAAGGACATGTACACCGGGTGTTAGCTGTATGAAGAAGAAAGATGGAGGAGTGCAAACACCTTAGAGAAATAATGTTTGCATGCCCAGTCATCCAGCAGAACCTCCATAAAAAGCAGAAAAAAGATATTGTACTGAATCATAGTATATAGTCATACTTGATTTTCTCCTCAAGTCATTACCTCATAATGGCCCAGTACAGGAGGTAGATTATCACCTGACTTGCTTTTCTTTTGCCTTTATGTCCTTAGAAATATCTAGAAAAAGTATCTGCAAGTTTTTGTGTCTCTGATCTTTTCTGATAGTGGTGTGTTATGTTTTGATTTTAAAAAAAATCACTTTAAACATAGCTGTTTCACTGTCCCATTAGATAGTTGTATTTACTAGAGTTCCTGAATCTGTTTTCTACTGTTTGCTTTATTTCTTACCACATTGGGTTACTTCCTGGTTCATTTCAGTAATTTTAAGGCTGTGAGCCTTGTTACGGTGTGGTTTCACCTGTAAGCAGTGTTACATTAACCCTTTCTGTGCAGCACACAGAATGGTGTGCTGGAATCATCTTCAGCTGGTTCATGAGAGATGATCGATACAGTTATCTGTTAAACATAGCTACTGTTACACTTTCAATTTTGCAGGCTTATAGTTAAACAGCTAAATTGAAAGACAAAGGTAATGAATACTCCAGAGTCATCCCCCCTTAGCTGCTTTACTACTGTCTACCATTATCTACTCTCTGAGAGTTATTTGATTATGTGTCAATAGAGATAATACTATATAATGTGTGCCATTGTACATTTCTTTCCAGCATCACATGGCCAGTAATATACTATGCCAATAATTTGAAGTCAGCCATTAAGGAAGTATTTATCTTTAAGAAATCAGGTCTTGGCTTATAATTTTGTTGGTTGTGTAGATAAGAGGTTGGTTAGTAAATGTTTTGGGTTTTATGGACTATAGTCTCTGTTGCATATTTTTTTTCTGTGGGTAAAAACCCTTTAAAAATGCAACAAACATTTTTTGTTCCAGAGCAGTATAAAAACATCTGTTCTTGCCGGGTGGAAATGATGGGCCACACCTTTAATCCTGGCACTTGGGAAGCAGAGGCAGGCAGAATTCTGTGAGTTCGAAGCCAGCCTGGTCCACAGAGTTCTGAGACAGCCAGGGCTACATAGAGAAATCCTGTCTCGAAAAACAAAACAACAGAACAAAACATCAAAAATGTTATGGGATTCCCACCTGGGTCCCATCGCCACTTTTGCCCCCAAATAACACACAAGACACTAACTATATTAATTATAAGCTGTTGGCCGGTGACTAGGATTTCTTATTGGCTAGCTCCGTCTTAAGTATTAACCCATAACTACTAATATATGTATTTCTACAAGGTCTTATCTTACATAGATCACATGGCAACTCCTACTACATTTCCCAGAATCCCCCTTATCTCCTAGTCCCGCCTATCTTGCTTCCCTTTGGCTAACAGTGTTTTATTCATCAACCAATAAGAGAGACATATTTCCAGAATGACATCTCCCATCACAAACATCTGTTCTTGAGGCTTTTAGTATAGAGTTAAGGTAGTAATATTAAAACTGTTAGTAATGTAGATGGAATTTAAAAGCATATTATGTCCTTGTCAGTTTTATAGTAAGTGGCACAAAAGTTGAATCAGCAAATATTCTCTAGTTCCTGATATTCTTCCCATTTCAGTGAAGTCCTTTCATCCACTAACAAGTTAGTGAAGTCCTGACACAGGCCTGCATTATTTCACTTTACTTGTACCTTGAAGGAGACAGAAACAGCTGTGCTTGTCTGTTAATGTGAGTAGTCTCTTGGTTGAGTCACATGTCTATTCATACCTGAGATTACTACCTTTGCTTTGTAGTCCTTTACAACAGGGCCAGTTGGTTTTTTGTTTTCTTGTGGGTTGGTTGACTGTTAGTACTGGGGAAGTGAACCTGCTGCCTCACTAAGGCATGCTACACAAATGCTGTATCACTGAGCTTACATGGCCTCGCTGTTTGTCCATGCATGTCTTGAATTTGTGAGCTTTCAGCAGACTTTTGATATTTTAGAGGCTGCAAACCTAATTTTGTAGTAGATGCTCAGTGACTAATGCTTGGAACACTCAGCTGGCATCTTCTGCTCCATCCCTCTGCCTCAGTTCTACAGTTCTGGGGTTACATGTGTTTGCCACCACATCCCTCTTGCTACCGCTGGGTAGCAGCTTCTTTAATTTTTTAAGAAGTCTGTTCTATGAGTTGGTCCCATTTTATTGTTGATCTAATGATACATTTAATGAAAGAATAGTCATAAGAAGCAGAAGACCAGGTTTCTAGTCCAGCTGTGTAATCTTAATCTTTAAGTCTCTAATTCCTCGTTTTGGAAAATAAGGCAAGTTACTGAACTTCCCAAGAACTATTTTGAATCTGCAATTTTATTCAATTCTTGATAATAATTTGAGTTGTTTTTCTTGTACATTTTTTCATAATTTGAAAATATAAAGAGATTTTTTTTTCCTTCTCCTACCTCTGCATCCCTAGTGTTGGGATTAAAGGCATGTGCCACAATGTCTGATGTCCTAGTTTGCTTTATATTGCTGGGAGAAATACCATGATCAAAAGCAAGTTGAAGAGAGGGTTTTTTTGTTTTGTTTTGTTTTTTGTTTTGGTTTTGTTTTTGATTTACATATACCAAACACAGTCTGTTGTTGAAGGAAACCAAGGCAGGAACTCAAGCAGGGCAGGAACCTGAAGACAGGAATTGAAGGAGGAACTCTCCCTACTGCCTTGCTCCATATGGCTTGTGCAACTTGCTTTTACATACAACCTAAGGCCACCTGCCTGGAGTTGTACCATCCACAGTAGGCTGGATCCTCATGTATCAATTATTAATCAAGAAAATTCACCACAAGCTGTTCCTTCAGGTCAATCTGATGGAGGCATTTTCTCAATTGACTTTCTTTTTTCCCAAGTGAGCCGAGTTGACAAAAAACTGAATACAGTTAACCCCTGTCACCTGGACAAACACATCAGTATCAAACCTCAACCTTTCCTTTCTTGTTTATCCCAAGATACCATACTAATAGTATATAACTAAAAACATATCTTTAAACGTTTCATAGTTTTTAAAATATTCAAATACTTTAAAACAGTTCAGTCTCTTTAAAATACAGAAACAGGGCACAGTTACAATAAACTTAGAGCAGCATCTAACAGTGTATACCAAAGCCTGTAGGTAAATGTCCAGCAGCTAGGATTCATTCACTCATGATCCTCTGGACCCTCAAGGACTTGGGTAGCTGCACCTCTCCTCCTGTGCCCTCCATAGCACATGTGCTAATCTCACAGGCTCAGGTAGGTTCCACTCCACACCTGCTACTGTCCTTGGTGGTTGTTTCACAGTCCTGGACTCTCCAGTGTGTTGGGGTCTCCACTGTAGCTTGGTTATACATTCACCAATGGCATCATCTGGCCTCCCCTTCAGGGACTCTGTAACATGCTATATGGTTGGTGCTGATTCTCAGCTTTTCCAGGCTCTCCAGACCCCTTCAGTCCTGGGTTTCTACTGCAACTGAGACTACACATTCACCAGTGGCCCCTCTTGGCCTCTCAGAGTGCCAAGTCTCAGCTGCTCTCCATGTCCCTTCAGTCCTGCAGCCCTCATGCTGCCAACACCAGTAACACTTGGGAGACTGTTACACATTACCAAGATTGGCTGCCAGCTTGGATGCAGCTGTGGCTCCTTCTGGACTACATCTCTGTGTGGTGACCCTGAGGAAGTCCTTCCCAGACTTCACCTCAGTGGTGCTGGTCTCTTCCTAATCACAGCTGCCTTTCACCCCTGCTGACCAGGGACCACAGATTCTTAATTCAGAATATATTAAAGTTGATAGAGTGCTTCCCTCTGAAATCTCACAAACCAGGCCTCCCATCATCTGTGCTGCTCTTAGTATTCTTCCAGCTCCACAGAACAGCCTGTCAAGCTTAAAGAACTAATGGCTTTTCCAGCCCAAAGTTTCATACATTCCTACAATCTTTTCCGCAAACAACACAGTCAGGTCTATCTGAACAATATCCCACAACCCCAGTACTGCTTTCTGTCTTATTTGCTTTATATGGCTGTAATGAACACATCTCAGTTACAGTCCATCTTTAAGGGAAGCCTGAGCAGGAACTCAAGCAGAACAGGAACCTAGAGCCAGGAACTGAGGCAAGCCCACAAGAGGAACCTTACTTACTGGCTTGCTCAGCTTGCTTTCTTATGCAAATAAGGACCCAACGAGGACTGGGCTCTCTCATATCAATCATTAATCATGAAAATTCCCCACCAGCTTGCCTGTAGGGCAGTCTGATGGAGACATTTTCTCAGTTGGCTTTTCCCTCTTCCCAGTGGACTCCAGCTTGTGTCGAGTTGGTCAAAAACTAACCAGCATAACTGTCCTGAGGGTCTTACTTCTCTTGTAGGAATTTATGTTTTGATCTGTTAACTGCATATCTATGTATCCAGAATATAGATGGCTTTCAATACTGTCATTTCCATTTGTTGTCTCTATTTTACTTGTAATTATAATGAGTTATACTGTGTAGTAAGATCTATATTTTAAAGGTAAACAATGTCTCCTTTTCTGTTATAGACATTGTTCATGAAAATCTGAAAATGGGATCAGATGGTGAGAGTGACCAAGCTTCTGGGACGTCATCAGATGAAGTCCAGTCTCCTACAGGTGTTTGCCTCAGAAATCGTATACACAGGCGGATCTCAATGGAGGTAAGAATTTAAAAAATGCAAACATGCCTTTGTCTGAATACCGAGGAACATGCACGCAGATGGAGCAAATAGATGCTCATCTGAAACTTTCCATGAAGGCAAACGGCACTTACACAAGAGCTGCTTCGTTGCCTTACTGAGCTGGAGTCTGAATGTTTTTTTCTAATTACCACCCCAACACAACTATAAGTTAATTACAGTTCTCATTCTGCAGAAGACATTTTCTTTTTTTTTCTTCAGATTTTTTTATTTGAATTAGAAACAAGATTGTTTTATATGACAATCCCAGTTCCCTTCTCCCCTCCCGTCCTCCCCTACCACCCTTCCCAACTAAAAACCCTACCTACCACATATCCTTTCTGCTCCCCCTGGATGGCGAGGCCTTCCATAGGGGGTCATCAGAGTTTATCATATCCTTTGGGATAGGGCCTAGGCCCACCCCCATGTGTCTTGGCTCAGGGAGTATTCCTCTATGTGGAATGGGCTCCCAAATTCCACACCTATGCTAGGGATAAGTACTGAACTACTACAGGAGGTCCTGTAGATTTCCGAGGTTTCCTCAATGAGATCCATGTTTCTGGGGTCTGGATCAGTCCCATGCTGGTATCCCAGCTATCAGTCTGGGGAGCAAGAGTTCCTCATTGTTCAGGTCAGTTGTTTCTATGGGTTTCACCAGCCTGGTCTGGACCCCTTTGCTCTTCACTCGTCCTTCTCTGCATCTGGATTCCAGTTCAGTTCAGTGATAAGTTCCACCAGCCTGCTGAATGAGGGCTGTCGGGTGCCATGTAAGTCAGTCATTTATCTCATTATCAGGGGAGGGCATTTAAGGTAGCCTCTCCTCTGTTGCTTAGATTGTTAGCTGGTGTCATCTTTGTAGATCTCCAGACATTTCCCTAGTGCCTGATTTCTCTGTAAACCTAAAATGTCTCCCTCTATTATGGTGTCTCCATTCTTGTTATCTTCTATTCTTCCCCTGACTCAACCTTTCTGCTCCCTCATGTCCTCTGCATCCCTCCTCTTCTTCCCTTCTCATTCTCTTAGCTCTCAATTTGCTCAGGGGATTCCCCTTCTCCAGGGGACCATGTATGTTTCTCTTAGGGTCCTCCTTGTTTACTAGCTTCTCTGGCAGTGTGGATTGTAGGCTGGTAATCCTTTACTCTATGTCTAAAATCCACACATGAGTGAGTACATATCATGTTTGTCTTTTTGTGATTGGGTTACCTCGCTCAGAATGGTTTCTTCTAGTTCCATCCATTTTCCTGCAAATTTCAAGATTCCATTTTTTTTCCCTGCTGAGTAGTACTCCGTTTTGTAAATATACCACATTTTCTCTATCCATTCTTCAGTTGAGGGACATCTAGGCTGCTTCCAGTTTCTGACTATTACAAATAGTGCTGCTATGAGCATAGTTGAACAGATGTCCTTGTATGAATGTGCTTCTTTTGGGTATATGCCTAAGAGTGGAATTTCTGGATCTTGTGATAGACTGATTCCCATTTTCTTGAGGCATTGCCATACCGATTTCCAAAGTGGCTGTACAAGTTGGCACTCCCACCACCAGTGGAGGAGTGTTCCTCTTTCTCCATATCCTCTCTGGCATAAACTGTCATTGGTGTTTTTGATTTTGGCCATTCTGACAGGAGTAAGATGGTATCTCAGAGTTGTTTTGATTGGCATTTCCCTGATGGCTAAGGATGTTGAACACTTTCTTATGTGTCTTTCAGCCAGTTTAGATACCTCTATTGAAAATTGTCTATTTAGTTCTGCACTCCACTTTTTAATTGGATTGTTTGGTGTTTTGGAGACTAGCTTCTTGAGTTCTTTGTATATTTTGGAGATCAGCCCTCTGTCAGATTTCAGGTTGGTGAATATCTTTTCCCAGTCTGTGGGCTGCTGTTTTGTCTTGCTGACTGTGTCTTTTGCCTTACAGAAGCTTCTCAGTTTCAGGAGGTCCCATTTATTAATTGAAGATCTCAGTGTCTGTGCTACTGGTGTTATGTTCAGGAAGCAGTCTCCTGTACCAATTAATTCAAGGGTATTTCCCACTTTGTCTTCTAATAGGGTTATTTGGCTGGGTTTATGTTGAGGTCTTTGATCCATTTTGACTTAAGTTTTGTGCATAGCGATAGACTTGGATCTATCTGCAGTCTTCTACATGTCCGCATCCAGTTATGCCAGCACCATTTGTTGAAGATGTTCTCTTTGTTCCATCGTATAAATTTGGATTGTTTGTCAGAAATCAGGTGTTGGTAGGTGTGTGGGTTAATATCAGGGTTTTCAACTCTATTCCATTGGTCTACCTGTCTATTTTTGTGCCAATACCAAGCTGTTTTCAAGACTATAGCTCTGTAATAGAAATTGAAGTCAGGGATGGTGATGCCTCCAGAAGTTCCTCTATTGTACAGGGTTGTTTTGGCTATCCTGGGTCTTTTGTTTCTCCATATAAAGTTGAGAATTGTTCTTTCAAGCAGAAGACATTTTCTTAATCACACCTTTTCAATAGTTGTCTGGGCACTTTGTAGTTTATATCTACATTTTAATTTTAAGAGGTATAAATCAACTGGAACCAGCTTGTTTTCTTACTTATTAGTCTCTCCTATATGGCTCACTACACCCATACATCCCTGTGTTCTTACTTATTAGTCTCTCCTATATGGCTCACTACACCCATACATCCCTGTGTTCTTACTTATTAGTCTCTCCTATATGGCTCACTACACCCATACATCCCTGTGTTCTTACTTATTAGTCTCTCCTATATGGCTCACTACACCCATACATCCCTATGATACACTTCAGTTATTTCTCTATGTAAAAGAAGAAAGAATTGGGAGGGAGTGGCTGCAGAGGAGTCTCAGCAGTGAGTGCATTTGCTGCTCTTGCAGAGGAACTGGGTTCAGTTCACAGTGCCGATGCGGCTCCAGGGACCTGATACTCCCTTCTCACCTCTGAGTGCACTGGGCACACACATGGTTCACATACATAAATGTAGACAAAACATTCATAAATATAAATAAATATTAAAAACCCCAAACAGCCATGTTGGTGGCGCACGCCTTAAATCCCAGCACTAGGGAGACAGAGGCAGGCAGATCTCTGTGAGGTCGAGGCCAGCCTGGTCTCCAAAGAGAGGGCCAGGATAGGCTCCAAAGATACACAGAGAAACCCTGTCTCGAAAAACCAAAAAAAAAAAAAAAAAAAAAAAAAAGAACCAAACAATTCTTTTTTTAAAAAAACATATGTTACAGTCTTATGAATAAACCTTTGTTTTGCCTATTAATATTTCACTGTATCCTGTAAGTTAAATGCTTCCCCAGAGATACTGAGCATGTTTTAAAATAAAATTAGGGGGCTGAAGAGATGGCTCAGCAGGTAACAGCAAGCCTGTAACCCAAGTTCAGTCCCTGGAACCCCTGCAGATTGTCCTCTAGTTACTTAAGGCAAAAAATACTCTGCTTCTATAAAACTATTTCTATAAAACCACATTATTTGCCTGTGATTATAGTAAGTATTTTTGCCTTAAGTAATTTTGGAACTACGAGAAAATGTCAGTTATTTACCACTAAAAAATAATGCACCTGGGTACACTTATCCCAATTCTAATGCCCTGATCTTCATGGTTTGTTCAGGACTTGAATAAGAGGCTGTCCCTGCCTGCAGACATCAGGATACCTGATGGGTACCTGGAGAAGCTGCAGATCAGCAGCCCACCGTTCGACCAGCCCATGAGCCGCCGGTCCCGGAGAGCCTCCTTAGTAAGTTTCTGGCCTTGCACTGTGCCATGAGGGCACTGGTTTGCTTTTCTGGAGTGTACCTCTTTTTTTCCTTCTTGTCCTTTTGTCTTTTCCTTTTCTTCTTCCCTCCCTCTCCCCCTCTCACTGTTCCTTTTCTTTCTTCCCATCCTTTCCCATTTCATAACTTTGTTAAACCCAGGGATTTGCATGTGCTAGGCAAGTGCTCTACCATTTATTTGTACCCCCTGCCCTGAAATTTACTTTCATATGTAAATGTAAATCATTCAGTTTTATTACATTATTGTCTACTTTTTGTCATTTTTCATACTTGAGGATGTATTGGAGCAGGACTTAAGTTATATCTCATTTTTGGATGTATCTGCTGGATGTATGTGTACCATACATGTTAGATATACAGTCATATGTTGATGATACATTTTACAGTAGAGTACCCAGACTCTGATTGGAGTTCAGTGTATTCTTCTGTTGTTGTCATACTCGTTTAACCAGTCCCAGATGAATAAATGAAAGCTATAGACACTTTTCTGTTACTTTGCTCTTTACTAATGCCCTCCTTCCTCCACCTTACCCATAATCTCTGCTTTCTGATCACAAAGATTAATTTTGCAAACTTGGTCGTACTGTTTTGATTATACTCTTTGTAGTGGGATTTTATATCTGAGACTTCTTAGTATTCATAAACATGATCATACTTTTAAAAAAAAATACTCAATACTTTGTGATATCATTTCCTCTGAGAGAGGGTCTTTGTAGTCTGGAATTCATTGTGCAAATCAGGGTGGCCTCACTCATCTGCTTTGCTCAGCCTCCTTAAGTGTCGGGAATCACAAATATGTTCTACACTACCTGAATCTCTTTCCTGCTTTCTTTCATTTAACTTTTGCACTTTATGAAGTTATGAATGTTATAAAATGTATTTATACAAATATGCAAGTAATGTGTATATTTTCTATACAAAGCTTATATGTTATAAAATCACAGCATGTATATAACTATACAAAATGTGTTTTTGTAGTTACCTTATTTTGTTCAGTGTCAAGTCTGTGAGTTTCATCTGTTTTGTCCCATGTAGTCATAGTCTGTTTGTTCTCATTGTTGTATGGTGTGCAAGTGTATAAATGTACTATCTTTCTTGAGTGTGTTATACTTGTATTTATGGTCTTTAAGTTTGTTTTTAGGGTTTGACTCTTATCAAATAGTATTTCTGTCACCATTCCTGTAAATGTTTTTTGATTAAATTACTAGATCCAAAGTAAGCTAGAAATCTCCTATTATGCTTGATATCACTTAAATGATACACTGTGATAGGTAGACATAGTATAAGTTATAACTTATTTCATGTATAATATTTTAATATTTGTATGTTTTTGTTGTAAGAGTCATCTGAACAGGAATTTGCTTAGACTGAAAAGTTATTTCTTGAAGTAATGAATTATTCTCTTGGAATAAATTACCATAAAAATCTTGTATAAAGAGCACATTATGGAGTCTTAATGTTGTATTAAAATGCAAGGCTTCTAGAGCCACTTCTAATTGTTTTTATGATGCTGGCTAGTGTTCTTAGTATTCTAAAATAATCTAAGGTAGACCTTGTGCTCATTGTTGCCATAGGAAAGTGGGAATGCCGTCTGTCTTCACTGTGTGCTCAGCACCTGGCATTGTCCTTGGTGAATGTTGAATAAATGGGCTTTGTCTTTTGTCTTCTGAGCAATTTTTAAAATTGTAGGGTATATCAACAAGCTACTAATTGCATATTTTGTTAATCTCTCATGATTGACAAATAAAAATGCAAGTAAAAATTTCTAACAATTCCATGTAAAGATTCATTAGTTGCTATTTGGGTGTAGTCATTGAGTCCACTAAGTTGAAAATTCCTTAAGGAGCTTGGGATTGTGTGTTATTATTCTCTGAATTCATGACAGCCAGTCACTAGAGTTTTGTCAGATTTCTTGGCCATCTACATGGATGGAACTCAACAGTACTGTTTATTTTATAGACTAACTAGTTATGCAAATATAACTTTAATAATTACATGTTAGCATCCACTTTCTCTCATAGATGTATGCTTATTTTTAATTGGTATGTATTCTGCATATTTGTGGGGTACAGTGTGGCATTTCAATTCATGTGTACCATGTGCTTTGGTTAAAGTAAGCAGCATATTCATCACCAAAATATCTACTTCTTTGAAGGAATATTGAAAATATACTAGCTATTTTGACACATACAATTATTGTTGAGTATAGTTACTTTGTGTGTACATATGGTACTTGAATGTGTGTATTTTGTGAATTTGGGCACATGCACATGTGTTCATGTTTGTGATATATACTAATAATGTCACTATATTTCATTCCCTTAAGAGTGACTCTTTGCAATATTAATTTTTGATACATCTGTTACATTTTATTCCATGTGTACTTGGCATTATAGTAATTTCTAAAGCATGTTGTTTATAATAGCCCTTAGTTTGTTGTAAGTACCTTATATAATCTTTAAACCTCAATATTTTTGTTATAGTCACTACTGGACCATAATTTATTGGATGTTTCCAGGGTATAGTAGCATTCATTCACTATAAAAAGACAAGTGAAAAAGTCACTCTTCCTGAGAGGAAAAAGTTCTTAGCTTACAGTTACATTTTCCCATGTGCCTTACATTGTAGATGATCGTGCTTTAAGATAGTTCAATGATGCTCACTGTTTTGTTCATACTATTTTGAACTGATTCTTAGTGCAGTGTTGTTCACTCTGTAAAAAGGGACAAGAAAAATCCACTGCCACTTGAATTGAAATATCTGAATTCTAAGGACACCCACGTGTAAAACATTTTTTCTATAGTTTCTATGATCTTGGCAATTAGCTTTTTATATAAACTTTTACATAAAAGATAATTCAGAATCCAGCTGTCCCATACAAGATACTTAGATATTCATTGCATTTTCTAAATTGAAACTTAAAACTTCACTTGTATTTGCAAAGTGTTTCTATTATAATTTTACTTCATTTTTCACATTATTGATTACAAAAAGTAAAGCCTTAATACCAACCAAGTCATATGTAAGGTAGATATGATGGTTCTAAAACTTTATTTTTCTATTTTTTCATAAAACTACCATATACATACAAAAATCATTAAGAGTGCAAAAGCAAACAAACAAAAAACCATATTTAGTCATTCAATAATACACCTGTGACTAAAAATTCTGGTTTGCTGAAACCAAATTAAGTAGTGTGTTTTTTAGCATGACATGTATATATCATTGTAACAAAAGTCTAAAAACAGCTCTTGTGAGGGAAGTCTGCAGATTTATCAGGGTTTCAAATGCCTGTGGTGCCTAAACATTTTAGAGATTTAAATGTTCATTAACAGAAGATTAACTGTTCTTATATAGACTTTTAATTATAAACTTTGTCTATTTTTATACCTTCTGGTGTTCTAATATCAAATGTATTTTAAAGCTTGACAGGTGTTCAAAAATTTCATACTTTTTAGACTAGAGTTAGAAGTTAAAAGAAGAGGTGAAGTTTTAAGAATCGATGCTAAATTCATAATTGTTTGCTTTCAGTCAGAAATTGGGTTTGGGAAAATGGAAACCTACATCAAATTGGAAAAGCTTGGGGAGGTGAGTATACTCATATTTTAAAAAATAAGACATTTTCTTGTTATCCAAACTCTCAGTCCATAATTTTTGCCAACCTAGAAAAATACAGTTTTAGATATTATCATCTAAAAGATTATATACCTAATTCTGAAATGACAGCAAAACTAGATGGAATAAATTATCTCAGTCCTTGAAATCTTCCATCAGTTAAGATGAAGTTAATATCTTTTAATAGACTTGTAATCTTTTGTTTAAACACAAATGCTATGTTTTGTGGGTAATGTACTAGGCATCTACTTGTTATCTATTGGAGTCTGTTGTGATCTGGACATTGTGTGAGTTCAGAGAACTATCTGTAGAGATAAAAGTGTTTCATCAAAGGTAAGGAAAGGCTGTGACTTTCTTGAGCTTGCTTCTTCTCCCTGTTAATTTAGAAATGGCCTGCCATCTACAGTAAGAGAAAGGGCAGGAAGATAACAGGCAAGCCTCTGGGAAGCCTTTGAAAGGAGGACTAATGTGCACCGATTCTGAAGGGTGTGAAGGCACGGGGCAGAGTTTATGATTGAACATTATCATTTTCAGTGACAGTTCTCAGTGCCCCGAAGGTTTTATACATCATTGCCTTACATGCCTTTGATATTAATCCATTGATTCAGTTGTTAATCTGAAATAACACAGGAATAAATGAAATGCATTTTATACTTTGGAAACACCATAGGGTGGTAGGAAAATGGATATTGTGCATATGGAGCTGAGTCACTGCTGTAAGAAAAAGTGGATAAGATGATGTTTTCTTTTTAAGGTAGACTTTAGCATGCTTAGAAGCTAGAAACTGAGGTTGAGGCTCTTTACATTTTTTTGAGATGGAGCCTCAGTGTGTAACACTCGCTGCCCTGTAACTCACTATATAATATAGGCCAGGTTGGCTTCTGCCTCCCTCTGCTTCCCAAGTGCAGGAAGTAAAGGCATATATTACCATGCCTGGGGACTATCACATTTGAACAATGTCCTTCAAAATATCTTTTATAGGGTACATATGCAACAGTATATAAAGGAAGAAGTAAATTGACAGAGAATTTGGTGGCGTTAAAGGAGATCCGCTTGGAACACGAAGAAGGTGCACCCTGTACAGCTATAAGAGAAGGTATGGTATTTATATAAATAGTTAAATCTAACCATATTAAAAGAACTGTTTTTAAAATGTGCTCAGGCAGAGAGTCAATCAGTGGCTGGAAGCCATCTTTAGACCTTAGAATTGTTAGTTTCTAAACGCAAAATATTCAACAGAAATTGCATTATTGTATATTTCATAACAAAATACTTATGAAGGAAGCTGTTAAAAGTCTGTGACAGATAAATATTTAACCTAGGAAAATTTTATGTATTGGTATACAGAGACCATAACAACAAATTTTATTAAATATAAGAATCAAATACCATATAAACATGACCATTTTATTTTTTAAAATCAGATCTTTTTATTGATAATAGATAAACACATAGAAAATATTCTGATCTTCCCCGACTCTTCCTCACTTTCCCACTCACCCAATTCCACACTTTCTCTCTCTTCCTCTTATTAAAGTACCAATAGACATCAAAAAAGTAAAATAAAAACAAACCAGAATAGGAGAAAACAAACAGAAAAAAAAGAGCCAAAGAAAAAGCACAAAACACATACAGATACTGGGACACACACACACACAAACACACATGCAAATCAGATTATTAAAACAGAGCTTGTGGCAAATTATTGATGATATGGAAGAGTAAAAGGCATCTTGCACTCTATAATCTCAGAGCCTCAAGTAATTGACAGGAAGTTAAAAGATACGAACACGCAGAGTTGTAATGTTGGGGCAGTTTCAGGAATATGGTGTCAAATCCACAGCCACACAAGCAAAGAAGAAATCGATACCTTCATTGTCTCCACTGTCAGTCTTGCTTCAAACTTTGGGCATTATTGTAAACACAGTTAATTAATGTGCAAAACTTTGGGATTCTTAGAAAGACCAGCTACCATAGACTAAATAACTTGCTTTCTGTTGTTTTTCAGTCTCACTGCTAAAGGATTTAAAACATGCAAATATAGTAACCTTGCATGACATTGTTCACACAGATAAATCTTTGACTCTGGTCTTTGAGTATCTGGTAAGCATTTAATAAAATTTATCATTCTATTTTGCTCTAATAAAATAGACAGTTGGACCTTTTAACAGCCCCAGGGACATTACTGTTAAATGATTGGTATTTAAATTTGTGTGTAGTGAATTCTGTATATTTCCTTGAAAAGCAGCTTGGTTTTAGAAATTCAATTCTGTTGGGCTGGTGAGATGGCTCTGTGGACAAAGGTGCTTGCTAACTTTATCCAACTATAGAATTGAATCAACTCTCTTGGGTTGTCCTTGGACCTTAACATATATGCCATGGCACATATATGTGTGCCTCCAAATATAAATAAACATTTGGTTATTTTAAGGGGAAAAAAAGCTCTTAGGTTGATCAGCCATGAATTCTCAAAACTGTGTCACATGAAAAAGTGTTGTGTCTATTTCAGGACAAAGACCTGAAACAATACATGGACGACTGTGGAAACATCATGAGTATGCACAATGTAAAGGTATGTTTTACATGTAATTTCAAACCCTATTTAAAGCACAGCACAACTAGACTATATTGCCCAAGCAAATATACCAGCCTCATAAGTAATTTTTCATTGGGCATTTTTAGATTATTGCCTTCTAAGTATACTGGGTCAGCATCTGTTTACACTATAGCTTTTAAAAATCAGATCCTTTGTGGTGCTGCTTTGTTTCAAAGGACTTTTAAACTTTTGACATTTTCTTTCACAAAAATTCATTCCTTTAGATGTAGGATGGGTATCTTAAGTATATTCTGGATAAAAAACATTTAAAATTAATACAAATGATGGATACATACTCTGAAAGGCCCTTTTGAAAATAAATTTCACTAGTATATTTAAAATAGTATTTAATCATAAAATAATCGATTGAAAAAGATCAGAGACTTACAAGTATCTTGAATGCTGTGCTGGAAATACAGATCTGTGTTACCAGAAGATAATCAATGTTTTCTTAGCATTAATTAAGCATTCAAGCAGTGCTATAGAAGTTTCCTAAGACAACTGGAACCAGATGAAACCCAAAAGTTTTAAGTTACTAGATAAAAGCATTCAACACAGCTGAGTGTTAACAATAGAGGTCTGTGGCCTAATTGTCAGACTGAAAACTTAGCGAAGGTTTATTTATGCAAAATTAACAGTTCAGGGGAGCCTATTTTGGAAAAAGGCAGTGTCTCGAGTGTGGTTGAGACATTTCTAATTCTGTAGATAATAACTTTTAGCTTGGTTCCCCTTTTAGATAGTAAGTTGGTGGATATAGAGAAAAGCCAGTTTCTGTTATTAACAGAGTGCTCTGAACATGGACTAATCAGCAGGACTTTAAATGGATTCCCATGTGTTCTAGGAGGGTTTTTATAATATGATATCTTATTTTGTAATATATTATGAATAGTGTTTGTATATTTCTATTCTATTTTTGTTTTCCCTACTTTTATATATAGCAATAATTGGTAAAGAAAATAAAGAGTTTAATTGCATAATTTGATAAAGGTTTGCAGAGTCTATGCTTTTTAAGTTAGGTCCATACGGATGCTATAAGGTGGAAAGCATTTAATTGTCTATCTGTTAAAATTATACTTATGCTTTTCAAGGATAAAATCTGACATATATTGAAATAATAATTCTAGAGTTTTCAGAACACATAAATATGCAAACTCTGGAAGCTGCTTTTCAGAATTCCTTCAGGCCTGTCCCTCATCTTCTGCAGTTTCACCTTCAATGACCTAAAGACACCTCCGAATTCTCTGTATGAAGGCTCTTTTTTTGCTAACAACAAAGAATCAAAATGTACTCCAAGTCTTTCCTCTAAAATACACAAAAGCCCTCAGCCATTAACCTTGCAGGAGTCACTTTTCTCAGTAATTCAGAGCACAATAGTGCCAGGGTCCCTTTCTGAATCACAGCAGATTTGGAAGAGTGAGTAGGAGGCACTGATAGTCAAGTGCCCAGGAGGTGGATGAGGAGAGTGCTGGGGAGAGTATTTTATAGCAAGTAATTTGCCATAGCTACATAGCACCATTCTTTCCTGATACCTTGGCTCTTTTGTAAAACCATCAATTCTGGTGCCTCTTTTAAAATGATGCTGCCCACTACAGGCAAGTGTATGCATACATGCGTGCCTGTGTGTGTGTGTGTATGTGTGTGTGTGTGTGTTTGTGTGTGTTAAAGGAAGAAATCAGTTGCAGGGTTTGGTTAGTTGTTTGACAGAATTTCATAATCAAACTATAGGCCTACAGCCAATGAACTGCTATTATTTAAAGTTTTATTTGCAGTATTTATTTTCCTGGTTATCATTGGGTTAAAAACTAAATGATGCTTTAATTGAACAATAAACAGTAAAATTTAGAAAACAACTCTAAGAGGAAAAGATGTCCTTAACTGGCTTTAATTACTTGATTTTTTTTCTTTATAGCAAAGCCCATTACAATATCTTTAAGAATTCTTTTCATTTGTTTCTGTAGCTGTTCCTGTACCAAATCCTCCGTGGTTTGGCATATTGCCATAGAAGAAAGGTATTGCACCGGGACCTGAAACCACAGAACCTCCTCATTAATGAAAGAGGAGAACTAAAGCTGGCTGACTTTGGTATGGAGAGATAAGATATTCATAAATACTTCCAGGTGGCTAAGTTTAAAAAACAACAACAAAAAACAAAATAAAACAAAACAAAAAAAACCCCACCATTCACAAGGTTGTCATCACTTTTATGTGGGTTTTGAAGTTTTCTCTCTGAATTTAGGTGGATGGTTTTAGATGGTTATTAGTGATCAACACTAAAATGCATGGGTTCTCAGGCATTCTCCATAGACCTCTAGGGCTTCTGAAACCTCCCAGCATCTCTAAAGATAAAACACAGGATCATAATTAACACTGGTGTTCTTTGCCTTTTCCCCTATGTTGATACTCGCACTGATGCTGAAACTTGGGTAAGACGTAAAGTCACCAGGTCCTGTATGTATTCTCTACTGTTAACAGTCTTAAGGAAAGTGTCCATTATACCTAAGGTACTTGACACTGCAGTAAAATTTATTTTCTTAAATTTTAAGCCTGGAGTGTATGTCTTTATAGTATTTCTTGTGACAAAATGAGGTGGTACACATTATATAAGACACATTGACCTCACATAGAAACAAGAGTAATCTAAAGAAAAAGTGTTAGGGGTTCTTTTCTAAAGAAACACTGTTTTACTATGAAATTTTAGACTAATAGACTTAGATATTTGGTTTGCTTGTTTTTGTTTTGTTTTGTCTTTTTTTGGGGGGGGGAATGGTTTTGGTTTTGGTTTTTTGAAACAAGGCTTCTCTGTGTAGCCTTGGCTGTCCTGGAAAGGCTGGCTTTGAACTCAAAGAGATCTGTGTGCCTCTGCCTCCAGAGTTCTGGGATTAAAGGTGTGTGCTACCACTTCCCAGTGATATTTAGTTGGGTAAGATTTCATGTGTGTAGCCTCCCTGATGTTTCTGGGAGACAAAGTCCTGTCAACAGACTCTGTTCCTCCAGCTCTCTCAGTCTTTCCACCTCCTCTGGGAGATGTTCCCCGAGCCTTAGGTGCAGGAATTGGGTTGTAGATGTATCAGTTGGGGGTGGGCACCACATGGTCATTTGTTCTCTGCATTTTGATCAGTTGTGGGTTTTTTTGTAATGGTCTCCAACTGTTGCAAAGACAAGTTTCTTTGTTGAAGGATGAGGTACACTTCTCTGTGGGTATAAGGATAAATATTTAGAATGCAGCTAAGAGTTATTCTGGTTAAGTAAAGTGGCAGCTATAGGTCCTTCCCCCAAATCCATATAATTCTAACATGGAAGGGGTAAATGTCTTGGGACTCCAGCCCTTGAAAAAAAATCTGCAGACCACTGAAGAATGCTGAGGGTGGTAAACATCCTCTTCCTCAGGCAAGAGCCTCATTGTAAGTTATCTGACCCTCAAGTAACAAGTCCAAGTACATTGTGTGAACTGAGCAGATCCTATTTAGATATTTAGGAATCTATGTAAAATATATCTATATATATATATATATATATTTGTGTGAGTGTGTATGTATACAGACACACAAAGAAAAAGAGGTCATGAATTTGAGATATGAAAGCAAGTGATGGGGGAGGTATATAACATGGAAGGAGTTGGAGGGAGGGAAGGGAGGGGGGAAATGTAATTATATTTTAATTTCAAAAAATACATACTTCCATTAATGATAGAAAACGGTGTAAAACAAATACTATATTACAATTAATTTGGGAAGGGAATGCTTATATAATTTCATAAAAAAAAAATACTGAAGTTCCGACTTTGAACCCTGAGCCAAATGAGAGAAGCCTCTCCTTCAGGCCAGGAGAGTAAAGTGCTAGGGATGTCGTCACTGCAGTTTGCTTTAATGGCTTCAGATCAGCAGATTTATAGTCGCGTCATCTATAACCCATTCTTAATTAACATCAAGACATGCAAGGTGGCACACATCTTTAATCCCAGAACTCAGGAGGCAGAGGCAAGTAGATCTCTGAGTTTGAGGCCAGCCTGCTCTACATAATGAGTTCCAGGGCTATACAGTTATATCCTGTCTCAAAAAAGCAAAAAACAAAAAACAGAAGAGGAATAAGAAAGCCATCCTACATCTTGCTAATTACCAAAATGTGTAGAAAAATCATTTGTTGGACATGACTATAGCAAGCTGGAATGCTAGGGTAACAATTTGTAATTAAAATAGTATCAGCATTACACCAATTTAATGAAGGGTTGAATTACCATTTTATGACATTTTTCTTATTTAATATTTTAATAAGATACATAAAGTTGTGCATAACAACAATCTTAGCCTAAGCACCCTTGTTACTTGAAATGAAATGTATGGTAAAAATAAGGTGTTTCTACATAACTGTGCACATATTTGCAAATATCTCAGTAATTAAATCATCTTTTGAGTGCAGCTAATTGTGTAATAACGGAAAATACTGCAGTTCACTTCAAGTGTAAATGATTCTACATGCTTCTGGTAGAATTGTTTCCATATTTTTGCTACTTCAGTAAAGGAACCACACACTTAAATCTATTGTATAGAAAGACATTTCTAGTATATAGTCTTAGTTATAAAATGCTAATTGTGTTCATGCTTGGGTTGTGCCAGAGAGACACACATGTCATTACATTTATATAAAGATGAATCTAAAATATGGCAGTAGTTGAAGATGAGCTCTGATGCTCTGAGCAGCTGAGTGGGTGTTGTTGTTACAGATAACTCGTTAACTTCCCAGTGCCTATGTGGGGTTCCTCACAGCTTTCAGTAACTACAGCTCTAGGGCATCTAGCACCTTCTTCTGTCCTATATGGGCAATACAAACACACACACACACACACACACACACACACACACACACACACACACACACACACACACAAATAAAAACTCAAATTCTTGAAAATGAATGTATCACTGTGAAGACTGGGTCAGTGATTTACTACAGGTGGGTACAAAAGGATATTCCAAAAACCATGAACTTCTTGAAATGATACAGTAATAGTTTCTGGAGTCTACTAGGATGTAGTTTCACAATAATGGGTCTCTTTCTGTGTGTTTGTATTTTAAATTAGAATCTCTATGCTTGTAGTAGAACAAAACAATGCCAAACCAGAAATTTATATGTAATTCATGTAATGTCCAATATATGCAGCTGTATGTGTGTATGTATCTCCAAGTGCTATGGATAAGTGTATATTTTCTGTGCCTCCAGAAAAATAATGTTTAACACTGGAAAAAAAATAAGGTGTTTCTCAGATGTAAACATATCGACCACAATTTAAAAGCTTAGTATTATTAATTCTCTCCAGGTGGTAAAGTATAAAGGTTTTGAGTTTCAAGCCTTCCTCTCTTTCTGAACTCACAGTGGAGTGCACACGAGGCTGACAAAGGATGGGCAGGTGCTTGTTTATAGCAGCTGGCATTGTCCTAAAGCACCAAGGCCTCTTTTACTCTAATGTTACCCACATCTCACATAAGACATTAAGAAAAAGGATAATGAATGCCGAGTTTTGTTCCAGGGAAATATTCAGATAGGCTCAAAAAAATTGCCAGTAAAATTCAGCTAGTCACCGACCAATGATTTTGAAGGTTTTTAGTTTTTAAAAATGGTATAGTAAATAAATGTATCATTTGGGTGAAAAGATGATAAATAGCTTACAAGGAAACTGTATCTCAGTGTCATTGACCTATTTTGGATTAATTTCAGTAGTAAATAATTCTAGCATCATGACTCAACAAACAGAAAATATCTTAAGTTTCAATTAACTTAGACACTATGCCGGTTTAGTCTCTAGTTGTGCAATTATTGTTTTTACTTTAATTATATAATATTGACTCGGCCCTAGACTACATACGTTGAACAAAATTTGTAAAACTGATTTTTTGAAGTTTCAAGATGCTATTGAGTATGTGTCACTTTGAGTCATATTGAAGGAAGGGGTAAAATAATTCAGTATATTAATAGATTTCAGTATATTTAATTCCTGGTTTTCTTTTCTCCGTAAAGGACTAGCCAGAGCCAAGTCAGTTCCCACAAAGACCTACTCAAATGAAGTTGTCACACTGTGGTATCGACCACCTGATGTGCTTCTTGGTTCCTCAGAGTACTCAACACAGATTGACATGTGGTAAATATATATAAATGTCATTGCCATTTATATTTTTGAAAGAGTATAGCTATTAACAGGGCATCCTGACAAATACTTATTTTTTAAGGCGGTATTTTAAAGAGTATGTGTGTGAGCAATGATTAAGAATTGAAGCATTCCAGACCCCAGGAACGTGGGTTTCAGTGAGGAAACCTCGGAAATCTATGGGACCTCCTGTAGTAGTTCAGTACTTATCCCTAGCATAGGTGTGAACTTTCGGAGCCCATTCCACATAGAGGAATACTCCCTGAGCCAAGACACACGGGGGTGGGCCTAGGCGCCATCCCAAAGGATATGATAGACTCTGATGACACCTTATGGAAGGCCTCACCCTCCCTGGGGAGCAGAAAGGATATGTGATAGGTAGGGTTTTAGTTGGGCAGGGAGGTCGTAGGGGAGGGAGAGGGAACTGGGATTGTCATGTAAAACAATCTTGTTTCTAATTCAAATAAAAAAACTGCAAAAAAAAAAAAAAAAAGAATTGAGGCATGGAGATACAACTATTTAGATTTAAATATCAAGTCTACCACTAATGACTGTGTAACTGCCTTATCCACATTATTAGCCTGTGCTTTCATTTCTCATTTAAGGAGGTGGATACAGTAATAATAAAGTTCTGTAGATGATATTAAGACCAAATGAGAGAAAAAGATGTAGCAATTGGGGCTGGAGAGATGGCTCAGAGGTTAAGAGCACTCACTGCTCTTCCAGAGGACCCGAGTTCAATTCCCAGTAACCAAATGGTGGCTCACAACCATCTGTAATGAGATCTGGTGTGCAAGCATGCATGCAGATAACTGTATACATAATAAATAAGTGAAGTCTTTAAAAAAAAGACATAGCAATTTCAAACAAGTATTTTTTTAATATGTAGAATATACCTACTTTAAGTTGGTCTAAAATTAACAATTGAAATTTCAAAGATTGTTTTTATCCATTATTATGTGTGTATATGTATATACACATATGTGTGTGCAGGTACAGGTGTAGAGACCAGAAGTCAACATGAGGTGTGTTCAGATGTCACTTTTGCTTAAAAATATGTTATGTACTTACTGGAATAGTCTTTCACTGAACCTAGATCTTGCTGTTTGGGCTAAGCTAACTGGCCAGCAAGACCTGGGCTCTGCCTGTCTCAGTCCTGTAGCATTTTATATGTAGGTGCTGAAAATCTGTATAACAAACATTGTGCCCACTGAGCCATCTCCCCAGCCTTCATGTCACTATGACTATGATGCTCTATGCTTGTTGCTAGCTTATCATTGCCTATAAAATAAATCACATCTTCTTAATCTGATAAAGATTTTTATAGATGTCTATAAACTTCCTTTCTCAATTTAATCCAGCCTATTTCTCTTTTAGCAAAATTGTTCTACTAGGTATTCTTTAAAATTGGCCTAGCTCTCCTAATTCTCTGCCTCCAGTTCATCCCAGTCTGCCCATTTGACATGCATCTCTCCACCCAATGGGATCCATGTTTAGTAATTCCACACAATTTGTTATCAGTCCTTTCCTCCAGTGGTAATTCCTTTCTCTGAATTGTGGCTGTGTTTATTATCCACTCCTTATGATTTTCTTGTTTATTTGTTGTTTTGGCTTTTAGTTTTTGAGACAGGGTTTCTCTGTGTAGCTCTGTAGACCAGGCTGGTCTTAAACTCAGAGATCCAACTGCCTCTGCTTCCCTAGTCCTGGGATTAAAGGCGTGTGCCACCACTACCCTGCTACTCCTTTTGTCTAGATAAGTTAAATACTTGTTTGTTATTGTCTTGAGCAATTGCATCTCATTTCGTAGGACATTTACTCTCTTTCATTCTGATAAAATATACCAAAGATAAAGTTTATAATTTTAACTAGTCTGATTATATAGTTTGAGACACTAAGTTCATTTACATTGTTATACAACTGTCTCTGCTGTTCATCTTTAGAACTTCAGAACCTATTACTCCTTTAAAAAGTAGTAAGATATAGTGCCTGTTAGATAAACCAGTCTACCTTTTTATTTGCTCCTCAGTAATCAGTACACTACTAATTTTTGTCTGAATGTGTGTGTTCCAAGTACCTCATACAAGTGAAATCATGCTATTTGTTCTTTTGTTACTGACTTACTCATCTCATCTCACTGACTATGATGTCTTTAGGCTTCATCAACACTGTGCGTAGTTTCCTTAAGTCACTGTGTATATACACATTTGGTTTATTTGTTCATCCAGTGATAGGTACTTGAGTTTCTTCCACCTGTCAACTACTGTAAATGATACTATTATGAATGTGGATGTACATATGGATTCAAGATTCAGCTTTGGGTTCTCTTGCACATTTACCTATAAGTGAAATTGCTGGTCATAGCAATTCTTTTTTAAAACGTTTGAGGAACCATCGTACTGTTTTCCATAACAATGTGTCGTTTTGTTTTCTGTGTGATACTGTAAGTTTGTGTAGTTTTACTGTCTGTGTGCCCTTATGGAAGTACTGTTTCTTAACCTTACTTGTATCATACAGTTCCTAAATGACAAGGTCTGTTTTTGGAGCCTCTGTCCAACTTTTCCTTCCCTTACACAGTCACCATCCCCACCAGCACCCACTGTGGTCACTACTTCTGCATTAGAGTCATGACTCTTCCGCTTCTCTCTATAATGTCATTGCCATTGTTTTCTCCCAGATTACTGTAGTAATAGTAAGCATCCTATCACTTTAAATATGTTTTTATTCTTTGAGAATCTTATGTAAAGAAAGCTAGACACTTTAAGAGTAAATTAGTAACATGGAAGTCGATATGGCAAATTTAATGAATTAGTTGGATCTAAAAATATCTTTTCAGAAAGTTTTCTGGTAGGCTGGTCTAAAATTCGTCTGAAAGGCAAGCTTGAGAAAAAATATTCTTGTGCTACCTAATATGTAAATGGATTTTTTTCTTTTCTTTTTATGGTGAATTTAAAAGGGGAGTTGGCTGTATTTTCTTTGAAATGGCTTCTGGAAGACCACTGTTTCCAGGGTCAACTGTGGAAGATGAACTGCACTTAATATTTCGACTACTAGGTAAGAAAGAAGTCTTTCCAATGATTCATAGCTGTAGTTGGCTAGTTAATAGGACTATGTCTGTCAAGCATGTGTGTACATGCATCCATAGCTATGATGGTAACTACTGTTGGCTTTGCTGTCATAGGGTAGATCTTCCAAGATAATTCCTCATCTAGCTTCACTTCACTAAGACTTTGTGAAACAAGATTTGACATACATAATTTAAATGCATATCATGAATTTATTCTTTTCATTCAGGAACTCCATCTCAGGAAACTTGGCCAGGTGTTTCTTCAAATGATGAATTCAAGAACTACAACTTCCCAAAATATAAGCCACAACCTCTAATTAACCATGCACCCAGGTATTTTTTTCTTAAGTGAAAGGGGCAAACTCTTGTGACTCATTAGACTTGGTAGATGTACTGACGAAGTGAGGTTCAGGACTGATAGAGGACAGTTTCTCTGCAGTGTGTGAGTTGAGTTCATTCCTTCCATTGACATAATAGTTTTATAAGTCAGTGGCCAAGAATCACCACAGTATGTAAATACAATTGAGCTGTAAAATAAATAGAGAATGCATATATTAGGATTCTAGAGCTTATATAGCTAGATCCACAAAGGCCATGATAACACTTCTGTTTAGGACTTCACTGGCTGTCATTGGTCTTCCAGCCCTTATTATTGAAGTGTTATGAACTTAATACTTTACAGTAATCATTGCTTAGAAGGTGGTTATCTATATTTTGAACCCCATTGATGCATTTTGGGGTCACTGTCTCAGCATTTTCACCTATGTGCTAGGATAGTGATGTTTTGGTGTACCTGCCTTCATTGGCACACTGAATGTCAGTGCCCAGTTTAAACTTTCCTTATCATAAAGGGTACTTTATTTGGGGATAGAATGCTAATAAAAATTCTATAATGTTAATAACTTTTCTTGAATATTGAAATTTTGGTACTCTAGTTATTTATGATTTATTCTCAAGAAAATGGCAAGATAAGTCTTAGGGCTAAAACAAATTTGGGCCTTTGAAAGCAATAAGAATAGTTATTTTAGGGCACTTAAATTTGGCATATGGAAACATCTGGAAAATAATTTTATCTGCAATGTTTTTCTCAGCTAAGATAAAGGAATAAATGGACACTTGTTTTGGTTTGTTGTATTTTTTTGTTTCTAGGTTAGATTCTGAAGGAATTGAGTTGATAACAAAATTTCTTCAGGTAAGTCACATTTTATAATTATAATGTCAAATGGATCATTAAGTGTCACTACCTTATAAAAAATAGAATTAATAATAACCTCCTCTGATACTGTTAAGTAAGATTACTTATGGTGCTTTCTAGAATGCTTCAGACACCTCAAAGTTGTGTTCTTTGCAATTCATGCTCTTCTGTTTTCTTTCCTTATACTTGCTGCCTTTCAGGATGCTGCACTTCCAAATATGACTTGCATTTCCCTTCAAGCCACATTAACTCTCTTATATCTTAAAAGCAAAGGCCTTTTCCAAATCTCATTGGCCAGAGCATTAATTGTAAAGAAAGAAGAAAAAAAATTGGGAATTGGAGAATTAGGCTGAATGTAGAACAGTCATGATTCATGATTTGTTTTTTGGTGCTGGAAGCGTAAATGTCCTGAGCAATAAGTTGTGTCCTTTAGGAAAAAGAAGCCATGGAGTTGGATCTACCAAGGTTGCTGGTATAAAGGCATGGGGTATATGTCCACCAACATCCTGCTGTCTACAAAGAAAAGTAACATTAGAGATTGAATGCTTTCATTTTTCATCACTTTAGAGAGATACAAGGAATCTAATTTTTCATTATGAGGCTTAGCTGGGAAATGTGGAATTAAGAGAATTGTCCCCTCACCCTGAGCGTATTGGGAGTACTCTAAATTGATGCTAGAAAATTTGTCATATTGAGTAATCAAGAATTTTAAAAATATTTCTAAATACTAATTTATCCTCCTTCAGCTTTTTACAGTAATTAGAGAAAAGGTTAATGAGTAGGTTTTTCTTTCTTTCTTTCTTTCTTTCTTTCTTTTTTTTTTTTTTTTTTGCTTTTTCATAGTATGAGTCTAAGAAAAGGGTTCCAGCAGAAGAGGCTATGAAACATGTGTACTTCAGAAGTCTAGGACCAAGAATACATGCTTTGCCAGAAAGTAAGAAACTCATTTGTTCCTGTTTGTTTTCATTTGTCTAGGATTGAGGATTGGAATGTTTAGGGATTTAAAAGGTGATGGTTGTTCATATCTCTACCTAAAATTTTAGTCCTGTTTGTAATCAGATCATAATTTTTCCAAGGAAGGAATATGTCTTGTTCTTCTTATTTATGTCTTGTAACATTGAACACACTGTCTCTACTCACTAAGAAATCAGTAATGTTTGAGTGTGAATCATTAATATTACTTTATTTAAATTAGAATGTGCTGATGATATCATCCTTAGGTTTAATCTGGTTCAACTCATTTGTTAAAAGTGGATTTCTAGGGTTGGACAGGAAGAAGAAAGTACTTGATACATAAGCATGCAAATGCAAGTTCAGATACCCATGTAAAGGTTGGGCACTGCTGTGCACATCTGTACCCCGTACTTGGCAGGGTAGGGATTCCAAGAGCTCACTGGCCAGCTTAGTCAAAATGGTGCATAACACACACACACACACCGTTTTCTATAAAGATTATTGAGTTACAATCCTAATGCAAGCTTTTCCTTGTGAAAGTGCATTCCTTTCTGATAAGATACAAAGACGGCTTTCCTTTGTTGTGGTCATTCTGGTTGTACTATCCCTAAGAAGATAATATAAAGTTATTATGGAAATCACTAGAATAGAAAATTTCCCAGGCCTGAGGTAATGCTTTAATTTTGTTCATGCTATCTTAAATTAGTCCAGTGTTTTACTTTAAAATGAAGTGAGTGGGGAAATAGGAGAATGTCTGGGAGCACAGCTGTAAAAGCTATTATTACTTTCCCATTCTCTTTTCCTAGGTAGTGCTTGTTAACTGAGGTTCAGGTAACAGCCAGTAGCAGAGCCTGTTGTAGAATTTTCTTTATTTTTTTTTTAATGAAAAACTATCTCTGATAGAGGTTAGAAATGAGAGGCAATATGTATATTATTCCTAAGTCTTTTTAAAAGACAGCGTCTTAACTCACTGAAATCCAGCTGGCCTAGAGCTTGTTGATGATCCACAAGACCCTACCTTCCAAGTACTAGGACCACAGATGTGTGCTACTATACCTTCCTTTCTTTTAAGGGAGGTATTTCCTTGTCATAGCAAGTTTCAGTTTGACTTAGTGATTCTTGTACAAATCTGGTCCATCTTTACTGAAAGTACTTGAAGATAATTTAAAGGTTGATACTTTCAGGCCATTAGGACAGAGTCACACAGAGAACATTTTTTTTTTCCCTGAGACAGTTTCTCTGTGTAGTTTTGAATCCTGTCCTGGAACTAGCTTGTAGATCAGGATGGTCTTGAACTCACAGAGATCTTCCTGCCTCTGCCCCCCAAGTGCTGGGATTAAAAGTGTGCACCACCGCTTAGCCAGAGAACAATTCTTAAGTGTGATAACTTCATTTGGTTTTGTCTCTAGAACATAGGAGCAAATGCAACATCTTTCAGGGGCCATAACCTTGGGAGAGTAGTGTAGCTGTTTGGTGTTGAGTCCTTATATGTGTTTTGGATATTTTGTTACAGTTGATCTAGATTTGTCATTAATATCTGGTGATTTTTTTGTCTGTTCATTTTAGGCGTATCAATATTCAGTTTGAAAGAGATTCAGTTGCAAAAGGACCCTGGTTTTCGAAATTCTTCCTATCCAGAGACAGGTGTGTTTGTCATAAACCATTTCACGTGTCGATCATGAATTTTTGCGTGGAACCAAGCGATGGGTTTATAAAATGATCAGTAAAATTATTGATGTAAAAACCAGTGTACAGTGCATCCCACAACTCTGTATGTTTAGAATTGCACATACTCACTGTTCTGTATGATGTGGGCAGCTCAGTAAATCTTCAGAGAGACAGTGACTCAGTCAAGTCAGGGATCCTGAAAACTCCAGATGGCACAAAGACCTTTTACAAGTGACCTGCCTTGATCACTGCACACGCCATCCCTGGTACCTGAGGCAGAAGACACATCTTGTGCTTGCCTGGTCATCAGGTTCATCACTTCGAAGCCTAAAGCTGTAGACTGACCCCGTCAACAGAGGGGTCATTTAAGACAGTGCTGGCCACTCTTACCCGGAATATTAGCGTTTGCTGGTGGGAACGTTAGCTTCCTAGAGTCACCAAATACTGTATGTGGGATAAACGCTGAGCCTTGAACTGCCTCATAAGATGACTTTATATTTTAGGACACGGGAAGAACAGAAGACAGAGCATGCTCTTTTAAGTCTGGTAGCATGGTTTCAAGCCCAGCCCCAGCCTTTCTTAGCAGTCATGGACTCAGAGCTGACTTATTTCTTGTGCTGGACTTGGAATCTCCGTCTGTCTACACTGTCCTCTTCACAGTGGAGTCTTTCATTTCAGACCTACAGATTGTTTTTATATTTGTTGTCACAGTGTGACAATTGTTTTTGTACAGTTGGTTTTAAGGTCTTCTCTGCCAGTAGAGCCAGTAGGTTACAGCTATCCCATGTAACTGTAGCTGCAGATTTGTGCAGGACTGAGAAACACAGTGCATTATTTATTGCGGAATCATTGCTGCTAAATAACTACTGTTTATTTAACACAACAGTTGAATGCCTGAAGAAGTTGCAGTGGCTTTATTATATGTGAACGCATCTGTTTCTCCTCACAAATTGTTTTACTGCTGCATTTTTTCTTTTGTTTGTTTTTAAAAACTAAACTGCAGTGTTTCCTGGAATGTATATTTAGCTTTGCTTAACAGTAAAAACGTGAGCCATCTTGAACATGCTTAAGTTCGTGCTACATATAATTTCGTAGGAACATTGGCTAATAGAGTAGCTGAGAGGTCAACAGCACAGTGTGTTTAAGAAGTGTGCAGTGTAAGAGTTGATTCAAGCAAGTGAATATCAGATATTTTTGGAGTCTCACATTAGACACCAATAAATTAAGAACCAAGTTATTTATTTTTATCTACTCCTCATTTTAGAAATGTCTACTGCATAGTGGTATGCTCCTCCCCTTGATGAACTCTTTTACACTGTGCTTTTAGTTAACTTGTAACCATAGACACCATTCAAACAGGAAAGGTCTTGCTGCTGTTTGTCTTAAGCACATTTCCTTTATTAGAAGATACTTCATTTTGAGGAATAGTTTCTTTCATTCGGGGGCTGTGTGTGTTTCAGTGACATTCACTTGGAATCAGCTGAAGGCTGTACTGTGTCTTTAAAATGAGCCATGAGAAATGAGAAACAGGAACCCAGTGGAGTGCTCAAAAGCATTGTGGGTATTATCTGCTCATCAGACACTAACTAGTGTAACTTGAATTATGCATCTTCTTGAGCATCACAGACACTTCGGTGTTGGTAACAGTGTTTCAGGCATTTATGTTCATTTTTAAGAACTATTGGTTAGTGCATCCTATAACTAGAAATCCTAATTGGTATATTTTGAAATGGTCATGTACATTTTTGCCTTATATCATGAAAATAGTTATAACTTAATTTTTGTCCTGCCATTCACTGTAAAAACATTCAGGGTCCTCTCATTTCTGTTCAGGAAATCCTGTAGTTTATTGTTGTTATTTAACAGTATTAAGTGAGTTTTTGTATATTTCATTTTAACTTTATTTGTGAATAGTGATTGTGGCATGTTTGGGGTGTTATTTTAATATTTCATGATACTGAAATTTTAATTTTTTAAAAAAAAAAGTTCTGGAAGAAACAGATTCATGTATAATGGTGAATATTGGACCACTACTGCTTTTCACATTTGTCAGCTGGTTTAATGTTAAACCCTGTAGCCTAACTGCTGTTATTTCTAACTGACAGACATATGTATTAATATTGTACTTTGAAGGTTATAAATATTATGTGAAAATTCCTTCATTTTGTTTTGAAATTTATAATAACTAAATCTCTGTGTTATATAAAATGTGATTTTGTTGAGTCACTGTTCTTTGTTGGGGAAGAAAGCTGTGTACATGGGGGTCATTTTCTTTTTGTGGTGTCCTTGTAAAGTAAGGACGTTTCTGCTTATGTTTGTGTCTACCATTTGGTTAGCCGTCGCTTATATGACCTTGTAAGAGAGCATTTGTTACTTAAGTAAGAAATAGCAGATTTTTTTATTTGATTTGCAAATTGATTTGTAGTTGGTTGTCAGTAGGTTCGATTCTTGCACAGAAAAAGTAAAGAGATACAAGCAATCGTTATTTAAAATTCTTTCTAGGAAGTTTAGGGACCTCTGGTAAGGAAATTGGCAAGCAAATAGGTATGTGTAGGCTGCTTTGTTTGTTGACATTTCAGCCTCATTCAGATTCTGGAAACGTTGGGTGAAGAGACTTAAAACTCAGAAGGGTTGAACCTGGAACTCTGTCTCACAAGCCCCTTAAACTGGCCACTCTGAAGGTAAGAGGTGCTACATCATTCTCACCATAAACAGGTCTTCACGTGGGCACTTCAGTCAGCTTAATTTAAAAGAATATTTAATAGCGTGATATAATCCACCTTTCAGACTCATGACAGTTATATTGATTTTTCTTTACTTCTTTATGACATTGGTTGCATTCACAATACAATAGTTACATTGATTTTTTTCCAAAATTGTCTTATTATTTCAGAAATTGAATTCATTAAAAAATAATTCCATCTCTCCCCCCCAAGCCTCTCATAACTATTGACCTACTCTGAATTTCCCTATTCTAGATATTTTCTGTATGTGCAACCATACCATTTGGTTCGGCTTCTTTCTTTCAGGGTTTCTCTTCATGGCTGACTAATGTTCTGTTGTGAATGAACAACTGTGAATACTGCTGCTGTAAGCATTGGTGTACACGTATGTTTGAGTTCTTTGTGGTATATACACACTAGGAGTAAAACTGCTGGCCAGACATCATTCTGTATTTTCTGAGAAGCTGCTGAGCTCTCCACAGCGGCTGCACTATTTTAAACTCCTAGTGATGTATGAGAATTCTTTATCCTTCCAATACTTGTTATTGTCAGTGCCGTCAGTATTGTCAGTACTTTAAGCGGCATGAAGACGTAGTTTATTGTAGGTTTATTTACATTTACTAACGATTACCCCGTGTTGAGTATCTTTTGTTGAAAGAAAGTTATTGATACAACATTTTTCATTTTTTTTTAAACTTTGTTTTGTTTTTTTAAGACAGGCTTTCTCTGTGTAACAGCTCTGACTGTCCTGAAACTCAGTCTGTAGACCAGGCTGGCCTCAAACTCACAGTGATCCACCTGCCTGAGTGCTGGGATTAAAGGCATGTGCCAGCACCTCCTACCTGCTAAGTAAGGTTGTCTTTTTGTTGTTGAATTGTAAGAGTTCTTCATGGATTCTTTTTTTTTTTTTTTCCCCAACACTGGGGTCTCAACTCTTTCTTCTGGAAGAAGTTCTTCTCTATACCTTCCCATAGCACAGACTGGATTATATCTATGTATCCTCCCATTTTACTGCCTTCCTGTCTGTTGTCTGTGTACTGAAAACTATGATAATACTCGAGCACTTTTTATTATCACTCACTAAACCATAGTCCTGTGGAGGAAAGGGGTATGTCTTGGATCAGATACATTTTAAAGAAATACTAGTATTTGTGAAGACACAGGAGTGAAGAAATCCTTGTTTGTAAGTAATACTTATTTTATCACTTCTATTAACTTGGTCTTGTCTCTTCTCTATGAATGAACTAAAGGTAAATGCAGAAGTCAAAAATTATGTTAAAAACCTAAGAACTGACCCATAATCAAGGTACTCAAATTATTCTATATCTGTCTGTTTGTCTCTGTCTGTCTGTCTCTGTCTGTCTGTCTCTTTCTCTGTCTGTCTCTTTCTCTCTCTGTCTCTCTCTGTCTGTCTCTGTCTTCCTCTCTCTCTCTCTCTCTCTCTCTCTCTCTCTCTCTCTTCTCTCTCTCTCACACACACACACACACACACACACACACACACACACACACACACTAGAAGGGAAAGGGAGAGATCACACACAGGACTAGGGATACAGTCAGTACAGAAGTCCAGACAGGGCAAGCTATAATTACTGGGAATCTCCCAGACCACAGTGATGTGCCAGGATAACTAATTAAAATCTTTCAAGCATTATTGGCCAACATCATGGCTTCTACAATCAAAGTATAAGATTGAAAGCTGATTATCTGTTTCTTTGAAACAACTATTTAACTACAGTAGGTCCCAGTTTCCTTATAAAATTATGTATAAGAATACTTCCCTCCTAGGGCCGTGTGAGTGGTCTGGGTAAATAAGCTTCTAAGAGAGCTGAGTACATCTTAAGTAGTTTAGACATGGTTACTATCACTACCTGAAACTGCCAGGTGATGAAATGAAAATGGGTCTTAGGTTCCAGACTCATTTGAAAGAGAGTACCAAAATGCAGTGTCAGTCTTGTATTTGGGGCCAAACAAACCAAGGGGATTTGCTGAGAGGCAATGTTAATGCAGAGGAAGGATTCCTGAGGGCTCAGACAAGATGTATTTTGTAAAACTGACTGTGGTTGAACTGTTATTTATAAACAGGACCACACACATGTTATCTTCTTTGGTAGAAGGGGTGTTTCTGCAGTGCCTCCTGGAACAGAGTTGATTTTCATGTTTTTTGTGAGTGAACTTATTTCCTACCATACCTACAAATATGTTATACCTAAATAGCTATGAATTTGTTACCCTTTTGGAACTGTATTTACACTGAATGTGTCAGCCTGAGTCTCTGCTTATAACTATCTCCCTCCACCCATTGCAGCCATAGAGAAGCCGCATGCAGAGACTGAGTTAGGTTCCACCATCAGGTTCTAGAGCTCCAACTTCAGCCACAGCATGTTAGCATTGATTAGGCAAGCATTAAAAAAAAAGAGAGAGAAGCTAATGTTCTTTGGAATCTGTTTTCTGGCTAAATCAATCCTGTTAAAAACACAGAAGGTGGGGAAGCTGAGTTATTCTCCATATCTTCAGTTCTCTTCACTACAGTGAGTGTTTCGATCCATCAAGAGTTCAGTATTTTCCCATTTCTAATCAGGGAATACATAATATAGGTTAATCACAGTAGTTGGAAGAAAAGAAAACAACAGCCAAATTTAGTCATTGGAACATTTCCAACCAGCATCTATAGTTTAGAATCTAGTCTATAAAAAATAATTTTGGTTGAAATTCCTGTACATTAATTCCTTTAGTTTCTTTGTAAGAACCTTGCACATCGGGCTGGAGAGATGGCTCAGTGGTTAAGAGCACAGGTTGATCTTCCAGAGGACCAGGGTTGAATTCCCAGCACCCACATGGTAGGTCATAACTGTCTATAACTCCAGTTCCGGGGGACCCAACACCCTCCTACAGACAAATGTGCACATAAAATAAAAATAAATATTTAAGACAAAAACTTGCACATCAAATGCATTCTTGAGCAGTTTTAGACACTGCAGCCTTGTTTCTGTACCTAAGTTTTGGACCAATCCTACTCTTCCTTCAGCAAATGGTATGGCCCCAGGCAGCTCCCAACTTTCCCCAGCTGGCCCTGTGTGCCTGTCTTGACCAGAGAAGAGCTGGAAGAAAGCGTTCTCAAAGCACCTCTGGACTCTGCCATTGTGTTCAGTAATTACAGCTCCCTAAACCAGCTCCTTTTTATTTTAGGGCACATTTGTTCTCTGCTGGGAGGGAGTAGCTGGGGTGTCTATTTATGGGTTTGGAGCTATTTCCATGGCTTTACAGTCAGATGCCCCACACACACAAGAAAGATGGTCGATTTCAGTAAAAAAGTCTCAATTTATAAGTATCTACAATTTTAGATTTTTAAAAATTCAAATGTTTTTTCACAAGCTTGTTTTTTTAACCCTCTTATAGTCCTTTATTTAGTACCCAGTTTAGAATAGCTATTGAGGCACATTTCAGATCTGTTTTTTTTCCTACTTGTAGCGGTGTTGCATCTCACCTGATTTTACATTGAAAGTACTTTGAGTTCACAGTCTTGCAGCAGCACTTTCCCTTATGCACAGGTGTGCTGCCTTTCCGAGTTTCTGACCCGATGAGGGGCTACTGCCCTCAACAGTCCTAAACCACAGCATGTGATGCTTCTCCCACAGAACATCCAAATGGCCACATAGTCACTTCCATAGGGAGGTTCCTGAAGAGGTTTCTTTTATCAGATTGCCTTACTCTCATCATCAATGTAATACACAAAGCGCGTCTCCTCGGGGCTCTGCTCCAGCAAGGCCTTCAGTGCCTCCAGCTCTTTGTATCATAGTGTGTTTACTCCATCAAAAACTGTCTATGCACGGGAAGGTACCTGTGTAATAGAATTATTTCTTTGTTGTTTGAGTTTATCACTGTCTGTGGTCATGTTAGTCTTGGTTTGTTTTTTTCCCCTTTTCTGGGAGGGACCGGGAGCAGATTGCTAGGGATTGTACCCGTAGCCTCACCACACGATAGGCACAGACTCTACTGAGCTGCACCCTCAGCCCTAAAACATTCGATTTTCAAATATTGTTATGCCAGGAGTCTCAAGAAACCCTAACTCCTAGTGGTGATAAAGACACCAGATGGTTGTGGTTATAGGAACTCAAGAGAGCGGAGATAATAGTACATAAACTTAGGATGTACCTTTACGGAGTTCTGCCAGTGTGGACATAATGTAGTTTTAATATCCCAGAGTAGAAAGGCTACTGTAAATGTCTAAGCCGCTCAAAGTTCATCTTTTAAAAAATGCACTTTGGAACATATTCTTTAAAGAATGTTTATTGTCTAAATATGGCTTCGTTCATTCTTACAAAAACATTACTTGGACATTACATTTACTGGGTTTCAGGTCAAAAGAGGTCTAAGGCAGTTCTTTCAGTGAAGGGAGTACACTTTCATGTTTTCTACATGTGAAAAGAACATTCTTCCAAGAGCTGTTTGCTGATATTTTGTCCTTCAAACACTTTCCCTTAATATAGAAATAC